TTATAAGGTCTTCAAAACTACTACCCACTGACTAAATGTGAATCAAATAAATAAGTAAATGAAAACTTTCAAGAACAAGTGCTAGGTCAGAAGTTATAAAATTTGTTTGCAGGCTTATATGAGCAGCAAGGAGTCATCTGTCCAACTGGTATCAGTTGCTTGGCAAAAGTAGGATGTGCAGAGACTTCCAGAAAGAGTGCTAGGTCTGACTCAAAGCTCAACCAGTAAATAAATAATTAAATTATTAAAAACAGGATTCATGTTTTCATTTATAGGTCTGGCATTAAATTCACCTAGTTCTCTCGTAAATATACAATGGGTCTTTCCCAGGTTTTTGTGCACATTGAACCAAATGAGAAGTGAAACAAAAAGTGGAGTGATTTCTCCAGTCAATGAAAGACAGGGTCCACATTTCATATTTACACTCTTTCAAAACCATTCTGATGATATTCCAATCATTTGCATCTGATGTTGTGGACATGATTCTAATTTCAAATATTTTAACTTGCAAAATATGTGGAGTGTGGGGAGTGTCATAACTTTTCTTAACAAGAAAATTGCATTTCTGTTAACTTCAGAATAATTAAAAAAAAAAAAAAAAAATTTTTTTTTAAATTATTTTAAAAGTTCATACCTCAAAGTTTAATTTTAAAACTGAAGAATAAATGTCCATATGTTAATTTAAAAAAAAAGTAAAAAATCATGGATTTACCCTTAACTTTTTTTCACATGAATGCAGTTTTCACAATGTTTATTTTTGACAGGTGTACAGTTGCCTTGCACTGAAGACATTCCTAATTGTGGTGATACATGTGGAAAAGACTTAGCTTGTGGAGTTCACCAGTGCCAACAAAGGTGCCACACAGGACAATGTGATATTGTTAGCACAATTCATTTATATTTTAAATTTCAATTTCTGAAATTATTAAATCTTTAGTCTTAATAATTTAATGTGGTATAAAATTGTTTCTCTAAGAATTTACTGGAAATTCTACAGTTGCAATTAAAATTGGAAAAAAGTGTTTATTTTTACTAACTTAAATTATTGTCTAAGTATTTTAGAATATTTATGAGCATATTGTAGACAGAATATTCCTTCACACTAATATTTTTCTCTGGTTTTTTTTTAAGAAAATAACATCCATTGTCGCCTTTTTTTTAAAAGAAAGATTTGTAGTCAAAGACAAAAAGAAGTGCCTTGTTGCAAAGACTACATTTGTGAAGTAAAATGTCAGAAGCTAAGAAACTGTACCAGACATCAGTGTAAACGTAAGGTAATTCAACATTAATATTTTTATGTCTACTGTAATTTATTGTATTAAATTTAAAAAATATGGATTTTGGCTGTAAAAAATACAGTGCCACACAAAAGTTTACAAATATTACAAAATGTGTTTTTTAAGTATTTCTAAAGAGTTACATTAATTTAAACTTTTACTGGTTGTAGAACATATATTTAGGTCTTCAGTCAAACTTAAAAAAAGTATCCCACAAAGAAAAACCAATATTTAGTAACTCAAAAGTTTAAAACACATTTTTCTTATTTACAACAGTTTTAATTAAATTCCAGATTAATTTTTATGATTTTTTTTTGGAATAATTACATCATTCTTTTCTGTCAGATTGTCCTTTTTCATTGACAAAATGGGGGAATTCCAGTTTAATAATTGATCAAAAGACCTCCATAAACACATTGAAAATCCTCATAAAAATTGTTTATAGGAAGATATCTAGTCAGTTAAATATAGCGATAGAATTCAGTTTCCATTGATATTTTTCACTAGAAGACCTGTCATTCTAGTCATCCTAGAAAGGTAACAGACCATACAGCAAGATTATTGACTTTAAAAGTTAGCAACAGTGAATGAGTTACACTTAAAGAACTTAGGAAGGACTAGAAGTAAGTGGAGATAAAATAGAGTTTCGGATACAATTAGTCATTAAAAACTTCATCGATATGACATCTTTTTAAGGAAACCAAGGAAAAAAAAAAAACTTCTAAAACTTCTTTGGCTGGATTTTCAAACAAGCATTGCATCAAACCTGCAATTTTTTGAAAAGAAAATGCTCTGGCAAAGATCTGGAGAAAGGTCTGAGAAAAAAGGGTACTGAATATTAACAAAAAATGCTATCCCAACAGTAAAATTTGGCGTCAGATCAATCATGATCCAAGGTTGCTTTAGTGCCAAGGTATAGAGAACATTGAAATAATAGGAGGGAGGATAAATGGAACATATTATAAGGATATTTTGGAGAGAAATTTATGTCACAGTGCACATTCGCTAGTCTTGAAACCAGGTTGGGTCTTTCAACAAGACAACAATCCTAAACATACTGAAAGCTTACAAAATCATGATTACGTTCAAATAGAATAGACCTTCTAAAATGGCCAAGTCAATCTCCAGATCTCAATCCGATTGAAAATTATGGAGAGCTGAAACTAAGAATTCAAAAAAGGAACTCGTAAAACCTGCATGAACTACAGGAATTTTATCATGAAGAATGGAAAAATATTAGCCAAGAAACATGCTAGAAATTCATAGGGGACTACTCTGAATACCTACATGCTGTAATTAGCAATAATGGATACACTGCGAAATATTAATAGATGATTTAATAAATGTATTGTAAACTTTTGTGTTATTAAATTTTTATTGATTTTTTAAAAATCTTAAACATATGTATTATTAGTAGTAAAAGTTTCATTAATGTAACTGTTAGAAATACCTAAAGAAACATTTTTTGTAATGTGTTGTAAACTTTTGCTTAGCTTTGTATTTAAGAAAAAGAAATCTTATAGTTTATAAAGTTTAATAAAAAAAGATTTTCATTATTGCCATTCATTTAACTATATCCCAAAAAGTTACTGTGTTTGCTGTCATATTAAAAAAAAAATCTTTTTTTATTGATTATAGTATAAATAATGAAAGAAAATATACAACAATGTCAGCATATAATGTTTTTTTTTTTTTTTTTTTTTCCAAAATATAACTCAAATGCAAAACAAAATGCAGTTTATGTTTTAAAAAAAATGGTGATAAAAAATGGATACTTTACACCAACACTGAATACAAAAGATTATGAGGCAAGTAAAATTAACACTGCCAAAAACTGGTCTTCATCCAAAAATGGTAATGCTACATGTATGATGGGATTAGAAGAAAAGTATACTCTACTATTAGCTCCTTACAGAGAGCCAATTAATTTGTATGAGTACTACTCCCAAACAGACCAATTGCAAGTAACAATTCACAAAATGTGTTGGAATTAGTTAATAAAAAGGTATATTACATTATGGTTAATATTTCTTTGCCGGCCAGGAAAAAATTGTTACGGTTTGACTGGGCAGTTTTCTCTAATGTGCCATATTCAGCTTGGTATTTATTTCTGTGTGAAGAATTTTCTTAATGAAGAACTACAAAAGGCACTTAGAAAAGAGAAAAGGGAAAAAATATTCCAAAAGGACAGAATTAAGTTTCTTGAAATAATGGCAGAAGATAGTGGAACAAAAGAATATGTTGTTCAAGTTAATGTTAAAAATGCTAATATATTTTTATTTAATAAACTGAACAAATTTTTCTGGCTACTCAATAAAAACCATGAGTAATATATACTTATAACATTGTGTACAAAAACTGATGATAAAATATGACTTATTTTTTCTTATAATATTTAAAAGATCATAACAATTTGATACTTTTTAAATACATTTTATATTGATTATTTAACATTCTATTTTGTAGTGCTGTGAAGGAACCAAGAACATGTGAACAGGTGTGTGGGAGACTCTTGTCCTGTCGCAACCACAAATGTATTGCTAAGTGTCATCAGGGTATGTACTTGTAAAATCAATCACATCTTATCTCATCAAATATTTTTTTTTTTTTTTTTTTTTTTTTTTTAAATTTATAATTAAAATATACAGGTTCCTTTTTAATAAAAAAAAAATTTCATATTTTAAAATAGTAATCGGTGTAGTTTCTTTTTAGAAGTTAAGAAAGTTAAAAAGTATATATAATTCCTTTTAAAATCATTATTTTACGTCCTCTGTTATTTTTTTTCTATTTGATGTGGTAGCTATAGCCTGCTTATATCAAATGTTGAAACACATATATAATAAATCATTTATGCTCTAATATTCACCTTCAAAATAAGTAATGTAACAAATAATGAATTTATAGATTATTAAATACATATATACAGGCATATATATAAATTTTGTCTGCTAAAAAAAGTTAATGTTTGTTTCCAATTACATTAAGTAAAATTTGAATTTTTTAAATTTCCTCAAATAACTTTTGATAAAAAATATAATTGAATTTTACAAGATTTTAAAACTGAGAATTTCACTTTTGTTTACAAAGTTGTCAAAAATGGCAGACATGATTAATTTTATGGCAATTTTGCTAACTCAAAAAAAAATAGATTTTTAACTAAAATTTCAGATGTGCTAGGAAGGATTAAAAAATGTAAAAAAAATAATAAAAAATACTTTCATCTTCCTCTTAATAACAAACATATACGCAATAAAAAAATGTTAATGAAATTTGGGGTCTTTTTCATCAGGGTATGCTCTTTTTTAGCAAAGTAGTGAAGATACCTAAATAAATATTACCAGTGCACTTGAATTTATCATCAAAATAAAATGAAATAAGCTAATAATTTTGGTAAATAAAAGTAATAAAATATAAGTCAAAATCTCAACTTAAAAAATTTATTAAATAATGAAAGCATTTAGCAATCTTTTTAAATGTAAACAATTGCATGCATACTGATAATCATGTAATTATCTAACTCATTTAATTTGATTTTTCCAAACAAATAAAAAATCTTAAAAGATTGTATTATAGAAAAAATTAATAATAGCTGAAATATCTTACTTAGAACAATGAATAACATTATAGAAATTCAGTGGTAAAAAAAAATATTTAAAAATCATAAAAAAAAGGTACTTAGGAATGGTCACAACTAATTTTAATTAATCAATGCAATAGTTTATAATGAAATTTAAGTGAGATTGCTAATTGAATGATGTTGTATTTGATAGGTCCCTGTTATCCTTGCACATTGAGTGTGGACATTTAAATTTTTTAATAACAGTTGAAAACTGTTTTTCTGGTGGAAAAAATTCACCAGACCCCCTCGATGTAACCAAAATTGTAGGTAAGCAAGAAATCATTTCAGCTTTTATAACATTTAATTTTTAATATTATACTTCATGATTTAATTTTCTTTAGCTAATATTAGAGATCTATAGATAATTACATGTGTTAAGCTGACTGAACTCATACCACCACTACTCTATAATTAATTACTCCTATCTTCTTTTTCTCTTGGCCTTTTTCTTCTTCTGTCTGGACTTTCTACTACTCAACAGTCTTATGCCCCTCATCCCAAACCTTTCCCTTTTCATTTGTTAAGAGCAATGATAAAAAAAAATAAAAGCTTTAAAAAAATTATTGCTATCTTTAGGCCAGGGATAGTCAACCTTTTTGAGAGTGTGTGACAAATCTGGCACAAAATTTTTCCATATGCCAACACAATTTTTTGAGAATATATTATTTGATATCTTTTAAATATGTGAAGAACTTTAAGTGATAAAAAGCCACCCCAGAGCAGTAAAGACATGGTATTGTAAGAAATTATGTAAATCATGTAAAATTGACTGAATGGAAAAACTTATGACAAGTTTTTACAAAAGTTTTTTGTGATATTTTTTATTAACCTGTAACTGCCAAATTTCATGAAATTATGTCACACAATTTAAAGATGCTATTAACTATTACTAGCATCAACACAAAGTTCACACTGTTAATTTTTTCAATTAATCAGTCATTATTTTTTCCCCCAGTTATACATTTTTATGACTAAAATGCAGTCAAAGGTAGGCAATGCCACAGAATTTTCAATACCTAAGGTTTAAAATGAATTTTTAAAGATGAAAAAGCATTCTTGAACATTTTATTTTAGCTTTAATTGAAAGCTAAATGATTAAATTTACTATTTCCAGTAAGCAAAATAATCTGGTATATTTCAAATAGAAATTATATAAATTGGAATGTCAAATTTTTGCTTGATTTCACAAAGTCAATTACAAGCAGCCATTTTCTGACATTTTAACACATTTGTAAACAAAATTTAATTATTGGTTTTAAAAATCTTCCAAAAATAAAATATTTTTGTAACACATTCTTTTGAGGGGAAATTTGCAAATTTGAAGTTAAATTAATCTGATTTGAAACATATTACTTACTTATAGCATAAAAAACATAGTATACAAGCATTTCTTAACCATGTGTCCAGTTTTGCTGATTGGATTAATTGATGGACTAAGATGATAACATAAATTTTACAAAATCTAAGTGAATGCATTTTTTTTTGACGGCGGGTGTTAACAACCTAGTAACTATTACAAATTAACATTTTCAGAAATTGTGATATTTAAAGTTTTAAAATTTTGAAGGGATGATGTACAAAGCCTGCTGAGATGTAAATATACAACGAATTACAAACAAGCAAATTTTTCAGTAAAGGGAGGACATCACTTACAACATGTGACCTTTTAATAATAATGTTATGTGTAGACTACCATAGATAGAAAAATGGTAATGTTTAAAGTAAAAAAAAAAAAAATTTTAAATTGTAAAAATATTGCATGTAAACGACTTTTAAGCTTTTCAATTTTTGATTCATAAATATAGTTTTCACTCACTTTCTTTTAGGTGATATTGTAATTAAGTAATGCAGAATTTTAAATGATTTTTAAATTATAAATTATTATAATCAAAATTTTTAAGAAATGAAACCAATTCTTGTAAAAATTCATTATTCATCAAAAAAAATGTTTCTTAAGACAATAGTGTCCTTAATATATCTTATTTATAAAAGTAATTAAAAGCTTTTCTATTTAAATAATGTCATAGTTTTATTGCATTTTTAGTTTACAATTTGGAGCAAATTTTTGGTAACTGGGGCTCCTGTTTGAAGAAGAAAAAATTCATTAATTTGTGAATAATTCTTGAAGTTTTCATTAAAATCCAACAATTATTTGATTTTTGCAAGAATTTCCAAATCAGTGTGTTTTTCACTGGAAAAAAAAAACATGAAAACATTAAATGTAAATATTATATCAATCACTGATGTAAAAAAAAAAAAAAGACAAGGTTTTTTACAAAAATTTCAAACACGTTAGAATTAAAAAAAAAATTTTAAATAATTAAAAAATATTTGTGTCTTTCCTCTTCATAATACCATAAACATTTTGACAAAACTTTTTTTTTAACTTTGAGGCCTTTTTCATCATGCTATGCTGTTTTTCAGTAAAAAAAAAGTGGAGGTACGTAGTAAACGGTTATAAAAAAACAATCTTTAGTTGATTTTTAAATCCCTTTTAAATGATTTATAAAAAAAATATATTTATTTTCAAAACTATATTTAAACAGTCCTGAACCTTTGCTGCTTTTGAAAGAAAACATCAGATAAAACTAGAGATAGAAAACTTTTTTATATAATCAGTGGCACTTCTCTGCATCACTGATGACAAATATATTATATATATATATATATATATATATATATATATATATATATATAGTAACCTTGAGAGATATGCATGCACTATCTATTTCATTTGTCAGCTACTCATGTTATAAGACTTCACAATGTTCATCACTTAGGACAAAGATTGACAAGCATATGTAGATGAAAACATGGATGGTAATGTTGCAAGTTTTTTTTTTTTTTTTTTTTTTTTTTAAACAGACAAAATTTTGGGGTATTCAAAGTCCTTAATACTTTGTTTTCTGCATTTCTCTCTGATATTCCCATCTCTAATCGCTCCCTTTCAATATTTCCCAAGTCAACTCTAAGGTCAACAAATTTGCTACTCAGAAATTCAATTAACTGCATTTCAAAATCATCCATGTCGATCCATGAAAACGTTTGCAAGTTTAGTTCATCCAGTTTGATACTGTCTGGAAATTAATTTTGCTGTCTCTTCTAGTTCTCTGAATTTATCAAATCTTGTAAAGAACTGCTCAACAGTTTATTTGATGATGTTTACAAACTTTGAAGACATTGGCAGTCTGTTTTGCCATCTTTTGGGAGATTATTGATATATCTCTTTAAGTTTGGGAAATATCTAAATCTCTCATTATCTACATCCCTCTTAAGAACTTAGTTTTTTAACCAAACATAATATTAAATGTCTTACCAGAGACTTGTAATTTAATATTCAAGTCATTTAATTGTTCACAAAAATCTGCAAAAATCATCAGTTTACAAACCTACATGATATCAGACAATTCTTGGTAAGACACATGTTGGTCAGTCAAAAAGAGCATTCTCTCATCTAAGCATTTAAGAAATCATTTCAGAACCAAACCTCAGCTAAACCAATGATCATTGTTGTACATTTTCAGGCCTTCATATACAAATTCTATCTAAATTTGAAATTGTCTTTTATTTAAAGCCCGAGCAGAAATGTAATTAACAACCTTGTTATCTGTTTGCATCACTTCCTGAAGTTCCTTTAGGCCAGCTTTTGCATACAAAACCTCATGTATGATGCAATGAAAAACAGATTTACAAATCCCGCATTCTTACCTGTCATGCTGGGGCCACCAACTGTTGTGGCAGATACTACTTTTGAAATGTGAATTTGTCAAGTAGATAATTCGTTCACAACTATTTTACATATTTCAGCCCCAGAAGTATGCTCAGGTAGTGTTACAAGGGCAACCACCTCTTCACATACTTCATCACCCCCAACAAAATCAAAACTATAGCTAACTTAGCTGATGATATAATGTCCTTACATTCATCAACACAAATAGAAAAAAAAATTACATGAAATTAAATCTTTTGTCAATTGTTCAGCTATATTCCTTTCCAACTTAAGTATCCTATCCTTAACTGTCTTCCTACTCAAAGAAAAATCTTTAATGTGGTGAATAATCTTTTCCTTTTTATGAAAAATTGTCAAAAAGGAAAGACACGTTCTAACCAAACTTCTTTAATATACTCCCATCACTGAGTGACTTTCCATGTTGGAAACCTCAAAACTGGCAGCAACTAAGTTGGAACTGGGCCTACCTAAAATAAAGATCATAAAAAAGTATGGGTTTTTTTTGTCTTGCTCAGTTCAACAAAAAACTAATTTTTTGTTCCTCCTCAGTTTTATTACTTTTATTGTTATAAACACTTTCAAAAATGTCTTTACATAAGAAAATCCTACAAAATGATTGTTTCAGAACAGAAAATTCATAAGTCTTTTTGGTATTTTTTAATCATGCTAAATTTTTTCAGTCCATTATTCTTTAAATTTCTCTAATATCCTCTTTTATTTGAATGACATTGTTTTTAGCTGATCAAGACATTTTGCAAAATCTGTAAAGGGCAGAAAATAAAAAAACATGAGATAATGATATACATGAAAGAGATAGAATAAAAGTAAGTCAAACAGGGAATCTAATGAAGAAGTTTCACATCTCAGAATAGAGATCTTAGAAATCTATGGACTTTTTTTTTCTATAATTTTTAACTGGTTTCTACAAATATCCCCTTAAGTATATAAAAAAAGATAATGTAGAAAAATTTTCATCAAAGGATAATGCAGTTTACAGAACTATATAATAAATACATACTTCTTGAATTTTGTAGTTCAATGAACTAACCTGCCAGACTTTGTTTCTATAATTGTTTTTTTTTTTTTTTATTCATAGAAGGTTCTGTATCTGTAATTATAGTTAACACAGGTTCATCTTTGGTATGTTGAATAGATGTTTTCAATATAAACTGGCTTGATCTTGTCAATAGAGATAGTTTCTCTATTGTTATTATTGTTGATAGTGAAGAATTTTTCTGATCTTTCCAGAACCTTGCGAAGAGATTTTTTTAATCATTTCCAGATGAAGAAAAACATATTCACTGTTGACATCAGAAGACAAATAAATATAAAAGAAAGTTTTGCTATGTATTGTTTCAAACGAGAAACCTAGAGGGTGAGGAAGAATTTTATTTTATGAAAAATTCTCTAGGCAAGCATTCTTATCTTGGCTTGGCTTCGTGAATGAAGATTTATGAAAGCTGTCCACGTTGACTGCAGGCACATTGATAGCCGACTAGACTGATGCAGGACAGGCAAGTCCGGCCTCAGCGACTGC